TGAACAAAATGGTAGCGATCGGACAGGTAGGATCTAAACCATCTTAAAGCCTGTCCTTGAATACCTGTATAGTTTTGTAATCGATCTATGAGTTTGCCATGGTCTATGGTGTTGAACACAGCACTAAAATACTGTCTGTCTGTCTGTCTATTTATCTGACTGTCTGTCTGTCTGACAGGCAGCCCCTGTCTTCTCTGTGGCAGTCCCATGTCTTTGGAATAGTCTTCCATTGCACATTAGATCATGTGACTCATTTGACTGTTTTAAATCAGTGTTGAAAACACACCTTTACTCTGTGGCATACAGTTGCCCCTATCGTTTGGGACATTGATCAGTGATGGATATTGTGTGTATTGTGTTTGTTTGAGTAATTTTTAGACATGTAAAGCACTTTGGTCAACTTGTGTTGTTTTAAATGTGCTATATAAATAAATGTTGATTGATTGATTGTCTGTCTGTCTGTCTGTCTGTCTGTCTATCTGTCTGACTGTCTGTCTGTCTATCTATCTGACTGACTGTCTGTCTGTCTATCTATCTGACTGACTGTCTGTCTGTCTATCTATCTGACTGACTGTCTGTCTGTCTATCTATCTGACTGACTGTCTGTCTGTCTATCTATCTGACTGACTGTCTGTCTGTCTGTCTATCTGACTGACTGTCTGTCTGTCTATCTATCTGACTGGCTGTCTGTCTGTCTGTCTATCTGACTGGCTGTCTGTCTATCTGTCTGAGTGACTGACTGTCTGTCTGTCTGTCTATCTATCTGACTGTCTGTCTGTCTATCTATCTGACTGGCTGTCTGTCTGTCTATCTATCTATCTGACTGGCTGTCTGGCTGTCATCAGTTGGAGTGGTGGAGGGTGTAGGTGGGTTTGGGGGGGCTGCAGGTCATTACGAGCACAATAACACGGACAGTCATAGAGACACGGAGCGAAGGAGGAGGTGGAGGAAAGGAGTGAGGGACAGAGAGAGAATTGAGGAAGGAAAACGAGAGGAATTGTGTCAAGAATAATGATGGGCCAATTGAGAGTGCCTGCAGTCAGATCCCTGTATTTCTGACTGTTCCTGTGCTCGGCAGGGGCTCTCATTGTCTCCCGTAGAGATCACAACTGCACACACACATATACACACACACACTGAAACATCAGCTATGTCCGGCTAAGTAGGCACAATGGTCATTTGTTCCATGTCTTGTATTTAATGTGTGTGTGTAATCAAATCTGTTGTACCTTTCCAATCTGTTTATAGTTTGTGTTATCAACAATTTTTTATTCTGCAGAACACACAATTTTGATAAATATTTTGATAAATCTTCAAACTGTCTGTTTACATACGCCAGAAGTATACAGTGACTACAGGCTGTCAAAAAGTATAATGAAAGTAGTCCATAAAACAGTTATATTTCAAGCCTTCTGAAGCCATACAGAAGGTTTGTGTGAACACCAAAATTTAAGTTTGATTCAGTTCAATTTACATTTATTTGTAAAGCACTTTTCACAATATTTATTGTGCTTTACAGAAAATGTTTCAAATGTTACAATCAAGAAGCCAGAAGTGACTGTATCAAGTAATTATTCTTTAAAAAAATGTTATTTCAGTTGCCATTTCAAGCAAATTTGATGTCACCAAACACCCTTGGTTTTACATAATGCACAACCAAACATGATGGTGGACAGAGAGCAAGATTTACATTGTAAAACTCACTCAAATAACAATCCGTTGCTCACTCAAAGCTATCATATTGCTTCAGAAGACTTAAATATATTACGACACAATCATATGGACTACTTTCATCTACATGTGTCAAAACAGCAGCTGAGACATTGTGCACAACATCTCCTTCTGTGCTCCACACAAGAAAGAAAGTCCTACAAGTTTTAGATTTCCGTTTTTTGGGTGAACTGCCCCTTTAATAACCTATAAAGACTTGAATAATAAGGCAGTCCACCTTTGAGAATGACCATGTGGTGGTTATCTAGCACATGTGTTGTTTTGTACTTCCTCAGGTTCCTCGTCTTAAAGAGCCCAATCAAGCCACAGTGTTTAGATTGGCTTTCATTTCCCCTGCGAAATGCCTCCCACACGCCATAATCCCGTTATGTAAAGATAAATTACTAATATAGCCTCATAGATCCCACATCTATTAAAATGCACTCTCAGCTGTTGTTCATAGAAGAGGCTAAATACATGATTCCAGTGTTTAAAGCTGCAGAGCATAAACCACAGCTCATATTTCCATGTGTACATTTTTTTTTATTTATTATGTTTTATTAATACAGAGGAGAACATTTAGAGCTGCTGCTCCTTGGTGTGTCCTCTGAGTGTTTAACAGCTTTTATGGTAATAAAAAAAGAATGATAAACAACTTCCAGCAGCAAAAAAAGTTGCTATATTAAGAATAATTCATGGTGTGGCCTCAACTGCAAGCACTTTAAAGGCGAATTCACACAGAGGCCAAATATTCAGCATGGATGGATCTATGAAACTATTCATACTGGGGAATAAATTTTGCCTGATTATGGAAGGTTTTTCCAATTTACTCTCATTGTGAATAGACCTTTTGTCTGAGCTTTGTCACTGAACCGTTTCGTACTTGTTGTGAACAGGTCTTAATGCTGTGTCTAAATACTCATCCTCTCATCTTTATTTTTCAACTTAACGGTCTGATGATTGCGGTTCACATCTCCATTGCCAGACTGCAGTGGCTGACCACAGGTTTACACTGCGTGTTTTACGCCTGTGCCAAAGCATGCATGTTTGCGGAAACCTAATCCACCTTGACTCATTGTGATGTGAGTCACTGGTCAGCGAGTTCAGAGAAAAGTCCAGTACTTTACAAAATCCTCCAAATTTTATTCAGATTTCTGACAGTTTGAGTGAACACGGAGGACTCTAATTGGTTCGGTCTGATCTGTTAAGGACATGAACAAGCCAATCAAAGGGTTAGATGACTGGCCCCGTTTAATTTGTTCCATTTGATTGGTTAAAGTCATTAACTAGCCCATCAGATGACGAGGTAGACAGAGGAAGGAGATACTAGAGGGCAGGATGTGGCAGCGCTAATGAACCCGCTACATCAGACTGATACTCATGTAAGTGTCAGAGGGCACTTCTCTGAGTCTGCGCTCCAATACAGGAACAAGTTAAAGGTGGTCATCTCACTAATGGGTGTCATCACCACATGCAATCCAGAAAAGTTTCCCTGACTAAAAGCACTGAAGTTTAGAAAACTGTTTAGCCAAGGGACATCAATTTAGGGGACTTATGCAAACTAATCTAATGTCAAAGTTTGTTCAAAGAAGCAATATGTGACACACTCTATAATTTTGGCAGATATCACGGTGAGCTGTTTGTGGAGAAATGTGATTATAAGCAAGAAAAACTAGAATTTTGACTGTTATTTTTGATGAATTTGTAGCCTTCATATTGCCCAGTTTATTACAAAATTCAAACAATAAATTTTGTTTTGTCACTCTTTAATATGGTGTGACAGATTGCTGCATTGCTGAAAGTCATTCAATATCCATAGCTTATTAGATATATGTGCATGTGTGTGTGTGTGTGTGTGTGTGTATGTGTGTAATCAAAATACAGTAAAACAGTAATATTGGGAAATATTATTATAATTATTATATTAAAAAAACATACTGACCCCAGACATTTGATCGGTAGTGTATGTTAGAATAAATCTCCTAAACTCCTAAAAAAAAAAAGTCTGAAAAAGAGGCCATTGTCTCAACAATTATTATTATGATGTTGAAATAATCATTGAATTATTACATATTTAATTATTTTATTTTATTTTCTTGAAATCTTGAAATAAATATATTTGAGTCAAAATGACTCAAAATGATGGAGCAGGTCTTTATATATCTGTTGAATTGATCAAATTTTTCTCTGTTTTGCAGGTGCTGGAAACAACACACATCCCAGAATTCCCCCTAGAGGTCCTGGTGGAGAAAATGGCCCTCTCCCCCCCTCCAACATCGCTGTTATCGCAGGTGCAGCAGGCGGTTCAGCTTTCCTACTGCTCGTAACTGCTGTGATCTGCGTGGTGTGCTACCGACGACGACACGCCAAGCATTCTGAATCACACCACCCTCCCCTCTCCCTCTCCTCCCTGACCTCGCCCAAACGTGGCTGCGTCGGGGGTGTAGGAGGCGGCAACAACAACGGCTCGGAGCCTAGCGACATCATCATCCCGTTGCGGACTTCTGACTCCGCCTACTGCCCGCACTACGAGAAAGTGAGCGGGGATTACGGCCATCCGGTCTACATTGTACAGGAGATGCCCCCTCAAAGTCCCGCCAACATCTACTATAAAGTATGAGAACCGGAGACAACCTTACCGACAACATCTGCTAAGACCACACCACACCGACCTTAAACAACGACCTAAATCCCACCCCCACAGTCTGCACCCCAATAGATCAGATCCTTTTACCTTCACACGCATTTCTCCGACACACTGACCGTTCATGGTCGAGTGTGTCTGTGTGTGTGTGTGTGTGTTACCATTCTTCGCAAACTCACCCAACTTCGGCCTTTTGTTGGAGAGAGAATGTCCTGATGTGAGGGCCTCCCTCTCTCTGACATCCCACATGGGGGAAAATTCTTAAAGCTAGAGAAGACCTCCTGGAGTGAATCAGCCAACTGAAAAAAACATGAACTCCTTTTTTGGGGGGCATTCTGGAGCACAAGCATCAAAACTTTTTCTGATGTACTTGAAAAACTGAGACTATAAACACACAAAAAAAGAAAAGAAAACTCAACCTGTCCAAACCTACAAAGACAACTTTGACTTCGAATGCTACATTTACTCGCAAATAGCAGTCTAGTTTGTGTTAAACTCCTTCGAAAGGGGGAGGGGCCATTGATTCAGCCAGTCGTCACACAGGGCTGCAGTCACGTGATCTAGGACCCATGTGTTTGATTGGATTTGTAGTGGCGTGGAGAATCTTGTATATTTTAATAACGTGTGTATTTTGTGAGTGTGTAGGATAAATATTCCGACACTGCTGTCGCACACGTTGCGACCGGCGTGCTTCAGTACAACTTGCGAGTGTTTTTGTGTATGGATGAGTGTGTGTTTGAGTAAACTGTTAGCGTGAGCATGGGCGCGTGTGTTTGTTAGACTGTTTTAAAACCAAAACACAAAAATATGAGCGAACATCAAAAAAGGTTTTTTATCGCTTTCAACACATAGATTATAATTATATATGAATACTCAGTAAAATAATTTTTAGATTTTCTTTTCATGTAAAGTTACAGTTTGCTAGGCCTAATTTTTTCCTATTTTTTTATGACATGCTGACCTTGTTTCTTCCCCTTTTTGAGTTGTAAATTAATTTAATGCTTTCATTCTGTTGCAGAAACGGAGTGTGTTTGGTTCCCCCTCATTTTCCTCTTTCCCAGGAGTCTCCTCCGCTCTACACATATATTTTTATAGTGGGGGGGGGGGGGGGGACAGAAAGGAGGGAAGAATTGGATGGGGGTGAAATAAAAAGAAAAGAATGCGAACACCGCCTTTTGGGAAAGCAAACGCACGAGCGAGGAAACTTCTAGTAAGACTGTGAAACTATGGAAGAATCACACATTAAAAGAAAAAAAAAATAGGGGAGGGGGAGGTGGGGGGAGAGAAGGAAAGTCGAAAGCTGATTGAAGGAGAAGAGAGAGAGGGATGGAAAGGTTTTCAATAAACTCGTCTGAAGCTGTGGAAGAGGCAGATTTGGGCCCAATGGTCTTCTGAGGTGCAAAGAGACAGATGAGGGGAAGAAAGAAACTCATTCTCTCAGATGGACAACAGATAGATGGACACAGAATTACTCTTTAAAGACACACTGCTCTTTTTTGTTCACATGAAGTGAAGTGGAAATATTTCTAGACTCATTTCAGATTCTTGAGTATCGGACACGTCTCAATTTAGTAGACATGTTCACACGCACACAGACGGAGAATGACTTGATGGCCATGGCACACAGAAAAGCTCTTGTAGAGATTTTCATCACACACACACACACATGCACATGTAGCTCCAAAACACAATCAAAAGCCATTCTGATTGGGCATATATGCTGGTTACCTCAACAAATGCCATGATTAGCGTTGTTTTTTCTCTCTCTCTCTCTCTCTCTCTCTCTCTCTCACAAACACACACACACACACACATTCAATCATGCAGCCTTGTAACTAGCTGTGTGTGTGTGTATCTCTGTTAGTGCCAATGAAAACCTTTCTTTTAGGCCTGAAATATACTCTATACAAGTATGTGATCGTAAACGCTTGTGTCAGAACTCAGTTGCATTCTCAGCACATATTAGCATAAACTGTAATCTTGTATGGTCAGTTTTCTCTGACATGGCAGATCAACAGTTTGGGAAAGAATCTTACAAAGCTAGTTAGCTGCTGTTAGTCAATGGCTGAATTTGGAGTAGGATACTACTTTTAAAATGTCTGTCATATAGTATGTACTATTTCTAACTTATGCTGTTTTGAAATGTTAGCTAAAGCTATTCAAAGGTTGAATTTAAAACGGCATACTAATAAACTAGTATACTATTACGAATACAGCCTTTGACTAGCTTTAGCTAATTAGCAGAGGAAAATTAGCTAAATGGCAGAAATAGTAATTACAGAGCTCCATACATGACATGTGGGGGAAAAACAAGATATTGTTGCCACAAATGAAGAATTCGTTCCCACAAGTTCTTAATTTGTGGCCTGGTTTCATTAATTCACTCTGTTGTTTTAATGAGGGCGAGGGAACAAATTAGTACAACATGGCCACTATTAAACTGAAACGAGGGAACCAATTAACAAAAGGTGTTCACAAATAAATAAGTTATGAGAACAAATTACTAATTGGTGGCCATTTTATCTATTTTTTTCCTGCATGTCATGTGCGAGGCTCCATAGTAAGAATAGTATACTAGTGTGCTGTTCCGGAAACACTTAACTTTACCTAGTAGCAAATAAATAATAAGTAAGAAGACCCACACGTGAGATGTGGTGGAAAAAAAAAAGAAATCTTATTTGTTTCCACAGTTTATTCATTTGTTCCCTCATTTTATTTAAATTTTAACCAATTGTGGACATTTTTTAAGAAAAACTAGGGAATGACTATTAATCTTTGGTCGTTTTCCCCTCCACATATAATGTGCAGGGCGCCGTAGCAAAAGTAGTAAGCTAGTATACTATTCCAAAAAAAAAATCAACTAAACTTAGCAAGTCACATTAGTTCTTGCACTTGCAATGTGTTGACCAAACATTAGCGTCCACATACTTGCAAAGAATATGTTTCTGGCCTTAGGAGTTCAAATTGTGTTTTGTTTCACTACCATTGTAACAGTGTGTTTTGTATGAGTGTAAAAGAACGTTATCGCTAAGAAATACACCGCATACACGCACATAATAACAAGCCATTCATACCCAAATATGTTGGTGGTCTTATTTTGCAGATGTGATTTGTGACTGACGTTGGGACTTGAACAATCTGTTACTGTTTTCAATCTGCCTAGAAAGCTTCAATATTTGTCTCTCAAAAGCATTTCGTTTTGTATCACTCTGGTGCATCGAGACTGTGAGAAAAAAGAAACATGACATTGTTTTCCTGTCACATTGATGTTTTCTTCTTACACGCAAATTTGGATTTTGTTACTTCAATATCAAGTTGCCTAGAATGTGGAGGTGTTACGTTTGTTCGGCGCTGTTGTATTCGTGGGCTGTTTCATACATATTTAAGCGTTTGATTTCGGTTCAAATTCTGTTGCATTTACTAAAACAATCAGCGTAAGCCATGTCTCTGACCTTGTGCACATGGACTTGGATACGTGTGTGTGCGTGCAGGTGTGCATATGTCCGAAACACACGTGGACATCGTTCAAAGATGGACCAACACAGAGGGTGTACTGTTGCGTTCGGATCACAGAGGACACACGAGAAGACACAAACTCTCTCTGCTCACCATTCTCCCTTTTTAGGTCTCATTTATCGAACATCTGGCCTCAGAAAGGTCCATCTTCTGTCTTTCACATCGAGCGGTTCTTTGTGCACTTGCTTTCGCCACGAATGCTGGGACCAGTATTCGGTACGCAGACACAAGCGGGGACGAACCACAAAGTGTGTATTTTTTAGAGAACGCTTCAGTTGTGTGTACGTGTTTCTCTGTGCCAATAGCCAGCGGGTGGCGGCCACTTTAAAGACCTCCATTCCTCTCCAGTTATGTGTTCAGACGTTTGTAGACCACCATGTTTGTGTGTGCGGTTTTCTTTTCCGTGTCCATCCCTCCATCTTTCTCCCTCACGATCCCTCTCTTGTTTTCCCTCCTGCATACATGCCTTTAAAAGGGTTACACAACTAATACATTCCTTTGAAGAAATGTTGATTAAAAAACACACACACACACAAAAAAAAAACTTTACAGTGTATTCTTGGAGTTTCTTTACTGTGTGTGTATTTAATTTTCAAATGCATTGAGTTTTGTGGACTTCCACTGAACGTGCAACTGAATGACATAGAGAAACCATTTAATGTTCTTTATTTTTCTTCCCACTCCACCATCAATCTCTTTTTCTTGGTATTTCATCTTCTCTAAAGTAAACACTGGCTTTTACAGTCACCATCCATTGCCAGTTAAGAAATGAATGTTTTCTTTAAGTGCACAGAAATACCTTTTGTCTTATTAGTTATTCAGGACTGTATCTCACTTTCTCTTTTATTGCTTTCCTTTAGATCCTTCTGTACGTTTTCCGTAATGCCATTCAGTTGCCAAAGCAACCATTGCCTTTTGGCAACAATTTCATTTTTATGAAAACTCGCGAAATCTGGTACTGATTGTCCCCATGAGGTTTCCACACAGTTACAGGTGATGCAGAGGCGACGGCCGTATTATTGGCCTGGGAACGCTTAAGTCATGCAACAATCCTCTCATTGGTGTAATGTGATTTAGGTGGGAAGGAGAAGGTTCTAGAACACATGGGAGAGAAAGAAGAACACTTTAAAAATGTCCTTCTAGGCTTCTGCGGTCATCTTTATTGCGTAATCATTTTTCTAAAATGTGCTTGTACACCTTTAATGACCCAGAAGAGCATTTTATTGCCCATGGCTTGCTCAGGGAATTTCTCAACTGTGTGTCAGATTTTTCACCTACAGTTTCCTTGGTTAAAAATGAAACCTCAGTAAATTAGACAATTGTTGATGTACAGTCAATAGAGAGATAGAATTCACGTGGATTACGTAGATGATTAGGTTTTGCAAGAATTTAGTGATAAAATGTGTGATAAAATGAATGGATTTTATAGATAATTATGTTTGGTAAGATTTTAATAAGACATGTTTGAGGTCATAAAAGCTAAAGCAAAAGTCTTCTTTTAATCTCCATTTAAAATCATTGCTGTCTCTGAGAATGTTTTTCTCCCCAGTTGAACTCATAGGACCTAAATTAAATATATGATTAACTTAAAAAAGTGCAACAAATACTTCCAATCTGCATTCAAAAAGAAATTTTAAACCCTTTTTAAGTACCCCAGAATTTTAAATAATGCTAACCATTCATTAAAAGGTTATGAATTTTATAACATCTTCACATTATTTGGAAAAAATATATTTTGTGATAAAATTGTGCAAGTGTTCAATTTTGATCGTATAAATATGATATATTTGGATAAATAATAGACATTTTATTACGTTTTATTCATTTAATGCATTGACATTTCATCATGAACCTGTGGCCTGCAGCTTGCCATCCACTTTAAAAAAAAATTGGTTTGAAATCCCACCAAGATAAATTTTTAACCTATCTATCATATGTAATACATTTATATTTTATATTCTATATATTTCATCAATATGGATGTATGTTTTATGACTCTCAAAGTCGTGATTCCCATCCACTGACATTATAGGACTGACATACTGCAACGGTTTGACTTAAAAATCTCAGTTTGTGTTCTACTGAAGAAACAAAGTCACCTACATCTTGGATGCCCTGTGGGTAAGCAGATAAACATCAAATTTTCATTTTTGGGTGAACTATCCCTTTAAGCTGTCCCTCTTCGCTTTGAGTCGAAGACTCGGAAGTACAAGGATTTGACCTCGCAAAAAAAATCATTGCCCCATTAATGTGAGTAGAGTATTGTGGCGTGAGATAAATGTTATGGCATAAGTCTTTTAACATTCTTTTAATAGTATAATAATTAAATAAATTAATGTTTGTTTGTGTGTGGGCGTGTGTATAATAATTATTTGTAAAAAAAACAAACAAAAAAACATTTACAGATATTTACCATAATTTATGCTTCAAGTCTTTTTAATATAGCCTACCATGAATACACAGAAACTGCTTTCTTCCTGATCACAGCTGTGCTTTTCTGTGAAGTAGAGGAGCACAGTTTCTGTTGTGTTATTAAAAAAGAAAGAAAAAA